TGCAGAGCAAGGGAAAGGCATGCTGACATGATGGAATGAACTGAATCACAGGGGTAAGGAGAGAGTGGGCCAAATTAAATAAAGTCATGGACAAGATGGTTGAAAGGAGCACAGCCTTTGTTCTCCTTAGCTCCAAAGATCGTTTCTGAACATTCAAAGGAAGTACCAGGGTTTATAATAATAAAAACAACTTTGCATTCGGGATAGATGTCGGGAGGGTGTCTCAAATCGTTTCACAGGATTTACTCTAAAATGTATTGAGTGTATTTTATAGCAAACACCTTTGAGGTACTCAAGTCAGAAAAAACACATTATTCCTCCGTTTCCAACTCTTATTTAACTGAGGAAATAGCACCATATGATAGGGTACCACAAGAAACCCTTGTACCCATATTACATAACAATGTGTAGCTTCATATTCCAGTGCTTCCTGCTCCATAAATAAGCGGAAAGAACAGGGAATAGAAATGAAGTTATCTTGCTACAGTAAAGGAAATAGAATCAACTGGCCACTTTCTATGCTATGATTTCTGATAGTACGATCTCAAGTGGAGACAATCTACAGTCAAGCACTGTCTTGAGAATCTCTTGCAACCTTTTGGCAGTGTGTTTCTAGAAACACATCGTCAAATCAAAACTCAGTCAGCCCGGCAGAGATGAAATGAGGTGACAGGAGAGCTCAATGGGAGGAAAAGTAGCAGGAGAGGATCAGAAGAGGCAAGAGATACTGGAGGCGATTGTAGTACATTCAGGATTTTGGCATGGATATTGAGTTCAAAGTAACCGCAAGAGCAAGCTCTCTGAGAACAACACAAAACATTATTCCAAAATTGTATTCCAGCAGTTTGTTCCGAATACTCAAGATAACATCACTTGATCTGATAAGAATCTGTTGCTTGTCAGCAAAAGCCGGGTTAAAGCAAGGTTACCTTATTACATCTCCACCCCACAACTTCAACTTCAAACATTGTCTCTCCAGCTTAACACAATATATGTGTTCCTAATAATCCCTTTTAAAAAAATAATAATTTGGTCACTCAATCCACAACTGTTTGTGTTGCAAGTATTATTTATTGTGTGCAATTGGCTGACGCATTTCACCCACAAATTCAATTCACTTCCCAGTATATTCTGTCAAATGCAAGGATTATTATTATTTTTATTATAACATAGATACATACAGATGTTAAATAATATTATAATAATAATCCTTTTATTTGATATAGTGCATGATTATGTCTTAGAGGTGCCTCAAAGTGCTTTAGAGAATATACTATAATGTGAATTGATTGTATATTTTGTGGACGAAATGCGGCAGCCAATTGCACACAGCAGAGTCCAAAGAACAGTTGTGGATTGAAGTGTCCAATTTTTTTTAAATGTTAAGAGATTATTACCCCTGGAAAAGCGATCTGCCAATCGACTAACAACCGGGTTCCTACTTACTGCTAGGTAAACAGAGGTGTCTGGAGTAAGGAAACTTGCTCAACATTTCACCCTGCCGGGAATTGAACCCAGGTCTCTCTCTTGCAGGGTGAGTGCTCCAACAACTGAGCTACAGGACTCCACAATATAGGAATATGAACAGGAGAATGAGATCAGATTAAGTGTGGGTGGAGAGAAACAGCAGAGAAACATCTGATAGGACAAGTGGCCTGTTTCTGTTTTGTGCCATTCTATAATTCAAACAAAATTGAAAATAATTATTGTAGTGAATTCAGAGAGACATTTGACATCATAAATTTCTATATATAATTAGAGCAAGTATTTATTAGTATTGTGGTCCAGATCATGATCCTTTTTGTTTAGGTAAAGGTATCAAGGGATGTGGGAAAAGGCAGGTAAATTGAGTTGAGGTACAGCCATGATCTAATAGAATGGGGGAACTTGCTTGAGGGGCTGAATGGTGTACTCCTGTTTCTATGTTCCTATATTTCTTTTTCCTATTGAGTTGTTAAACCTAGATCCTAGATGACACCATTAGATGGAAAAGCAGGATGTTTTTCAAGGTTATCCTAGTTAATGTCTCCAGCAGTACCCCAATGCACATTCTAGAGTCCCCAAGCCTTGGCTCTTTCCAACCTACACCTAATACTTTCTGGAATTAGCTAAGCAGGATGCACCCCTCCAGGGAGAGAGTGCGCATTCCATTCAAACAATCCATCTCTGGAATTGTCATGTGTAGGTGGGATGCATGGATATCTCAGCTTGGTTTGGATACTCAAGAGACACCTGATTGACCTACTTCATGTATTACAGAGTAAAAAAATGCTTGTAACAGTAAAAGAAGACACAAAAGATCCACATTCCAGCGTGATGGAGCAGTGATACACTGGTAGAAGTTAAACAAAAGACTCCAGGACAAGCCTCTAAAATGACCATAAAATCATAAGCCTGTTGAAAGAAATCACTTCCCATCTTTTTAAAATGAGTAAAAAAATGGACGTAGTTATTTATGGCTGAACCCCTGATCCAAGTTACAGTTTGAGTGCTAGTTGTGCCTTCCCAGCCTCTTATATTGGAAAATTAATTTCTGGAGTCTTCAACTGACTCAGTGGATAAATCCTCCACATGATGTGGAACTGAACCACACTGATCAGACATATCTCAGATTCAATCCCTAGTCTGTGGTGAGATAGCTGATCTCAGCAGTTGGACATTTCAGTTGACCCTGGGCTAAGGAGGAGAAAACCTCACTTGGGTTCCCCACTTCCTGATTCCCTGGAAAGTGAATGCATGTGATGCCAAGTGATGACAGAATGAAACTTGGTTGTGAAGACCCCGCAATGGAATCTGACCTTACCATCATAGATGAATAACTGTCACAATGACGTACTGCATTTTTATCACTTCTTGTATCAAAACATCTCAAAAGCACTTTACAAGTAATTATTGCCAAGTGTAATGACTAATAACCAGACTTTTAGACATTTTTGGGTGATGGACTTCTGGTCACCTAATCCCACCAGTACCCCACCTTTCTTAGTTCTCCCATCCTAAGCTCAGGCACCCCGTCCTCTCTTTGAAGCACTTTGAGATGTCTCTCCCCACCAGGTAGCAGAACTCTTCAAGTAATGCTTTGGAAATTCAGACCAGAGAATGAGCTAAAATCCCAGCATAAAACAAAACTGCTAATATGAGTGGAGGAACAAAATTGGGTGAGAAGAGAATCTAAATCTCAATCAAGCAATCAGAAAGAACTTTAATACAAGCAATAGAATATTATTACTTGTGCTGATAATATTTTATTCTGCTGTGTCTTAACCCAAGAGCAAACTCTCTTCACTCATCACTTGATTTAGATGGGTATTTTCAAAAAGCTCGGTGCAGAGCCACAGATTCTGTAAGTAAATTTTGTGTCTTGCGTTTTGGAAATGGCTTAGAAGCGTTACAGGAGTTCAAAGCTATTCTCCGACGACTGCAATAGGATTCCTGGTTGGGTTGAGCAGTCTGAATGGAAACCGAAAAAAAACAAGGAAGCACACATTCCCCAGTTGATAAGATTGCTCCGGAGGACAAAGACATATCGGCTATGGACCAAAACCCTCCCCTCTTTATCTGTGTTGCTCTAAATAGTTTGCAACATACAAAAAGTCAGAAGTGCAATGATCTCTGGGTTCTTTTTATCATCAATGACTTAGAAATGTACAAATGCACTCGAGGGCCTCAAGATGGTCTTTTATTGTGTTTGACATCCTCCTCCCTCCTTGTAGTGCAGCTGTGAAATGTAATATCATCATTACGAGAAAACGTCGAACAGTAACTGCATGTCTGTGTCTGAGCTCTATGCTTTACTGATTAATGATCGAGGTATTTGGGTTCTTTCGTCCACGAGATGTGGGTCATGTATGATCCTTCTTTTTAAAAGACTTCCTTTCAAAACAACTTGTCAGTTGTTCATTGGAGTTATTTTGCACTGCATGATTTGACGTGTGTTTGCAAACAGTATTTTACAATTATAAATAGCAAGTAATGCATTTTTAATAGTCTTTCATTGATGGAGGAGAAGGATTTAAAATAAACTTCTCACTACCTACCAATTACTTTGCATACATGAGGAAGAAGGGACTTGAGAGGTATGTAGGAAGGAGGCTAGTGAGGGGCAATTATGATAGGTTATTTGGAGTATAAACACCAGCACCAACCAGTTGGCCTGAATGGCCTGTTTTGGTGCTATAAATCTATGTAATTCTATGTAATAACAGACATAGATGACACAGGAGCTTGTGAACATTACAGCACAATCAGAGGATACCTGGCCAGGGGCAGTCAATAGTAGGGCAACCTCCACGGTCACCAACATGCTGGTGTGTGTGTGGGGTGGGGGCAAGTTTGGTCAACACTTCAGGAAATGTTCATGCTCCTGTGCAGGGTATCCTGAATTGCGACTCATCACTGCCAATGAAAATGGAATATGCAGCATTCATCTGAACCAATACTCTAGTTCTATCTCTGAAATTGATATAAAATTGCCACAGACTAAAAACTGGGACCTTAGATATGTGGTTTGACTAGTTGAAGATGCAAGGTTTCACACCTTGTAGAAATGTCCCCAGATGATGAAATGGGTTAATTAGAGCCTGTGATAAGAATGATCGTTTGTGGAAGGAATAAGGAGGGTGGGCCAAAATGCCTTGTTCGCAACATCACAAGGTTTGAATCTCAACCATCAAAAATATCTACACTACTGTTCTTCCATTACTGGATCAAGCTGTTTTGTAGCTTATTTCAATATCTTGGTCTCAACCATTCTCCTGGTAACTAGTTCCAGTTGTAGATTGTCCTCTGTAAAGAGAAAAGCTTCCTGGTGGCTGTCCTAAAATGGTCTTTTACAAGGGTGAACCTGTAACTTCTTGTCCTACTGCCTCAGCATATCTGAAAGTATTGTCCTGGATTACATTGCTATATCGCATAATAGCATCTGGTTCCACGTTCTCTCGTGCTTTCAACTTTTAAATTGGGCTGTAAATTGGTACATAATCTGCACCCTTTCATTTCAGGAAGTAAGGACAAAGAGAAGAGAAAAAAGAAATCAAACAAAGAGGGCAATAAAGAAGACTCACAAGACAAGCAAACAAAAGAGAGCAGTCGGGGCAAGGAACATAGAGGCAACAGGGAAGCACGAGAAAAGAAAGAAAAACCTGAAAACAAGAAGCGAAAGAGGCAGAATAAGAAACAGATACCCACAACAGTGAGCACGGTTCACTAAAGGCCTCACTTGGTTGCTGAGATTTCTGATGCTGCTATGTATTAACAAGCTAACCTATAGAGGTGCACTGTATAATGGATCCAGTGCTGGATTCCTACTTCTAAATCTTACTCCTGACCTTCATGGACACTGCTATTCATTTCAAGGACTTCAGCTGAAGCCGAAAATGTAGATGTACCTAAGTTTATATGACATTATGCATAATTAACCCTTGCCCTACTGAATAAATGGGAACTCCGTATGGTTAGCACAACAAATATCGTGACTAGCCCTTTAAGGGTTAAAAAAAGAGCCAATTATGAGAAAAGGTATTCCAGTTAAGCGAAGTCTTTAGCTTCTGCGCAGGAGATTCCTCATCAAATATAATATGCATTTGTGCATGTTCTGGTTTCTATATAAAATGACAACAGGATTTTTTTTCTTTAATTATTAACAGACTGCTGCCTTGTAATATAGTGGAATGTAATAAATGTCATTTGAAACCTGGAGGACCAATTGTTACCTTTCTTTAAAGTGTCATTTTTAAGTTTCTGTTTATGGACCTCTGTAAGAAACAGTGCGCACACTAAAAACTAGTGTGATTTTTGTCAACAGATGCCACTAAACTCCTTAAAAGCACCTGTATTTCAAATAAAAAATATATTTCCTGTGCTAATTTCTCACGAGTATGTGTTTGTGATATATTGTAATATCTTCCTTAACATTATAGTACATGATTCAAGAATTATTGTTACATTATAATTATTTAGCTTTTTGCATTAATTCCAGAAATCATTTGAAAGAGTGGAATGAAACCAAAACCCATACCAAGGTCCTTAAGGTTTGTTGCAAAGACTACAGTGAAAACAGTTAGTATATGTCTACTTGCCAGTGAAATGTATGGCTCAGATTCTTCACTTTCAGTTTGTTATTTTATTAAAAATAACAGTAAAGCATCAGTTTTTAATTCTGGAAAAGCTATGTTGCAAATTGAGGACAAATAATCATAGGGAGCAGAGTTCAGTGGTACAAGTAACTTCTCTTCTGAAACAGATCAGATTGCACGTTTCTCCAGTTTAGTTAATTTCAGTTACACAGATTTCACGTATTTTGATAGATGTACTGGAGAGGAGAGGAGAGACGATGTTGCAGTCTACATCATTTCCATGTGCGGCATATCCCATGCATTTAGACATAAAGACACGTTCCGATCAAAATCTCTTGAGAATCAAACATAGTCTGTCATTTTGGAAATTCGACAAGTTAGCAAGACTGTTTATTTTGGAGAAAAAGTAACAGTAGGAAGTCAAGAATTTATCAGTGACATTGTCAAAAACTTTGAAAATTAAGACCGTTGAATAGAAATTTAAGAAAACATTGAAGGAAAAAACAGTTTTGAAATTGCTCCTGAAGTAAACCCTTTAGTACTGAGGAGACCCTTCACCAAAAAGTGAGTTAGTTTTAACCTTTTTCTTGCTTGTGGGCTTTTGTTTTACTAGTCATGAAGAAGGAATTTATATTTTTACTGCGCTTTATCATGGTGAAAAGTCTCAAAACAGTTCACAAGTAATTACTGTAAAATGCACTTTAGGCATCTTTTGTAGGCAAACCAACAGTTATTTTGCACATCACAAGGGCCCAGAAACAGCCATGTGAATAGATACCAGTTAATCTGAAAGATTGTGGGCCAGGATGCTGGGAGAAACTTTCTTTTTCAAACAACTTTGTAGGATCTTTACTGACCACGGGAAAGCAGGGAGACGGAACATCAGTTTTAACATTTCTTCATTTGAAGACAGCACACTCTGCTGCACTGGTGTGCCAGCCCAGACAATTACCTCAGATCCTGAAATTATGTTTGAACTTACTTGTGCCTCAAAGCTAAGGATGATACTAACTCAGTTAGACAAACTAGTATTTGGTCAAGAATGCACACTTATATGAGGCTCTCTATATGTTTGTATTGTAGAGGCACTTTTGCACTATCTGTAGATTTTCAGATAGAATCAATCCCTGGAAAAGCTAGGAACAGCATGTCCCGGAAGGCTTGTGTCTCATCTGGGATGGGGTAGGAGGGGGAAGGATTTCAAATGAAACAGATGCTTGCTGCAGAGAAGACTTCTACAGTTTTTTCCTTCAGAAATATTGCAATAGATTTTAAAATCTGAAGACCATTCTCTTCGACCATGCCTATGGTCACCTCCTCCCTTCCCCTGGCTGGGTGTCAGGATAAGCCACTCTTAAGCGCTCCGAGATATTGCCCCACATGAAGGGGGCATGCAAATTGTTGTTATTGTAGATTTTAAAATCAATTTTTCTTTTCCACAGCCATGTCAACTGATATGAATGATATCACTATGACCTATGTATGCAAACATCACTAAAGGTTCCACGACAACATTTAGTGGCAATGATGCCCTTTTAAAGTCTAGTTACTCGTTTAATCTGCTTTACTAATGTAATGTTACACCCCATTCCTCTACCTACTCCCTTCGTTCAGCTGGCTCCAGCCTTCTGCACCTCACTCATCCCTTCTGCTTCATCATTGGTGGCCGTGCTTTTAGCTGAAACTCTGGAACTCTCTGCCACAATCTCTCTGCCTTGCCCACTCCTTGCCAGTCTTCAGATCTCACCTGAAGACCTTCCTCTTCGACCATACCTACAGTCACCACCCCTCTCTGCCCAGCTCAGCATCAGTCTCAACCACAGTTAAGCATTCTGAGACACGAACCCTGGGTGAACTATATAAATGCAAGTTATTATAAATGGATTCCTTTTCGTATTATTTTGGTCTAGTTTCCAAATTGCAACTAATGTATTTTCATTCATCTTTTTAAGCAGTTTTAATTGTGGGGTTCAATATATTTTCTGTTCTCCCTCTTACTTTGCTTTCTTGTTTAAATCTATCTTAAAAACTCTTGTAGAGAATAATTAAAATTTGACTATTTAAACAGGTAAGTCCAGGCATTGACATGTACCTTCATTTTGTACCGTTTTTATGATAAATTTAAAGTGGCACCTTCTGAAATGAAGTGTTCAAACCACTTTAATTAGTCAGTGCATCAGCACTTGTTAAAATAATGTTTGTACCCCAACTCCTCTGCCTCTTCGCTCAGCTGGTAGAGAATAGCTGCACATCCCATGATCCTGCTGCACCATCATCAGGGCCTTCAGCCACTACGCCACTCTGCTAGAGTTGGCCTTCAGGAGAACACACCTGAGAACATAACTGTTGAAATTGCCATCCTTTGGATGAGACCTTAAACTATCTTTTACTCTGTTATGGTCGCGTCTATCTTTTCAGGTGGACATTAAAGAGCCCATGGCATGGATTTATTATACTGGCCAATGTATCTCAATTCTCCAGAAAAAAGGGTAGCACCCATAGATTTAGAGCTTTCTGCAGTTCAACCAAAGTCCTATTTTGTACTTTTCAGCATTATTTTAGGACAATTTGTTTTCAGACACAAATTAGTCTAACTAATAGTACAAGAAGGTTGAAAATATTGGTCTCCTATGGAGGCAGGGTATGATGTCAGTGCAAGGTACAGGTTTCCACTACAATCAGAAGGGGCCTGGAATGTGGTGGAACATAACCAAATCGACTGACGCATGCACAAATGGATGCTTCTCTAACGCCCTCCTCGCTGGTCTCCCATCCACTACCCTCCATAAAATCCAAATCATTCAAAACTCTGCCGCCCGCATTCTCACCCGCACGAAACTCCGCTCCCCGATCACCCCAGTCCTTGCCAGACTGCACTGGCTGCCTATCCCAGAGAGGATCGATTTCAAGATCCTCACCCTGGTATTCAAGTCCCTGCACTCCTCTGCACTCCCCTACCTCTCTGACCTCCTCTCTCCCATTTTCAGGTCTCTGCTGAAGACCTTTCTTTTCGACCGCGCCTTTGGTCACCTTTCTCCCCCTTCCTCTGGCTCGGTCCCAGGATCCGTTACTGTAAAGCGCTCTGATGCGTCGTCCGCATGGAGGGCGCTATTAAATCCAAGTTGTTGTTGTTGCTTGAAAAGAAATATAGAAATAACAAGTTTCAAGTAAAACCACAAATTAGAATTATGCCATAGTGCACTTTTTAATACTTTTTAACTGAAGCTGAACATATATCTTTATTCCGCAAATTACAGTAGTATATTCATCATTATGTACAATCTTACAGTGCAATTCTTGGCAATGCAATTGAGTGATCAAATCTTTTGCATTGTACAAAATGTAAAATGCAATTTATTTTCTTGAACCAAGGCACCAATTATTCACTATATTGTATAATAAAAGAGTTAAACATTTGCCTTGCCCCTATTTAAATAACCGTAATTATTTGCGATTATTTTAATTTAAACGCCACTTAACCAGATTTCTACTCCTCATTCAACCCAAGTACACAAAAAGGTTTTGCTTGGTTGATTTTCAATTTATGATATTGAGCAGAAGCTAACAGTTGGAAAGGGGTACTGCAACTTTGTAATCATTTTTAAAGACCTCATTAAAGACTGTATGGTAAATGGATACTGCATGTGCACAGGGAAACAGTCAATGCCATAAACCAGCCTTTTACAAAATGAAGGACCATTTATAATGAAAATTACAGGTTTCTCATCAATGTAACAGACTGCATACCTCATCGGCTATATATTTATCCAATGTTTGACAGATGCAGAGAAAGATCAGGAAAATAAGTTTATTTTATGTTCCTACTAATATGGTCTTTACGGAGGAATGAAAGCACTCAGACTTGATAACTAGGGCACAAAAAATAAGACCTATTAATAGGAGATGAATGTAAGGCTTTCAGAATTCTTTATGAATACTAATTATTTCTGAAGATCACAAAGCTCTTGGCGAAGAAATCAAACTGTGCTACTGACACCACATAGTGACATCAGCAGGTCTGAGACAACTGGAACTGGAGAAAAAAGAATAAGGAAGAGAGAGAAAGGGAAAGAGAAAGGAAGGAAGAAAGGAAAGAGAGGAAAAGGAACAGAAAAGAATAATAATATAATTCTTGCATTTTATATAGTGCCTTATCACATCATCGAGAAGTCTCAAAGCGGGATGTACAAATAGGATATAGTGTAATTTGGATTCTACTGTGAAGTGGATGTATGCAAACAGAATGTGCTGTAAAGTGGATTGACTGTGTAATTTGTGGGCAAACCCGAAAGCCAATTTATGCACAGCAATAACCCACAAACAGCCATGGAGTGAATGACCAATTTTATTTGGGGGATTTATTGCTCAGGACATCGGGAGAAACTCCCTTCTCTTGTCGAATAGTGTTGTGGGATCTTTAACATCCATCTGAAGAGGCAGATAAAATCTCGATTTTAACATGTTATGTAAATTGTAAATGTACATGATACTGAATGTCAATATCATGCATCGAACATCAATGTATTTGATGCAAATGTCAGTATATATTGTGTTGGATGTCACTGTACATGGAGCCGAATGTCAATCTATATTGAAATGATATCAGTGTACAATGTGCTTATTTATTTTGCAAAAAATAGATATTTATTGAGAATATTATATATACATATACACAATTTTTCTAGTTGCAACAAAACCCCAAATACACCACATATGTGTGCACCACGCCCCCTTGTGGTGGGAGGACACTTCTACACACTTTGTACAACAGACCTTGAGCATTATC